CAAATCAATAATACACTTCCTCTGTGATAAGAAAATTCCCGAACTGCTTCTCGATACTTGAATCCCCAAAAAATATTTCAAGGATCCAAGGTCCTTCATCTCAAATTCTGTAGACAAATATCTTTGCAAGGCCGCGCATTCTTCTGGGTCATGACCTGTTACCACCATATCATCTACATACACAATAAGTGCAGTAAGTTTCTCATTTCGTCTTTTCAGGAACAGAGTATGATCGAAGTTACTTTGTTTGTAGCCAAATGCTTTCATAGATTTTGTGAATCTTCCAAACCATGCTCAAGGGGACTGCTTTAAACCATATAAGAATTTCTTCAACCTACCCACTTTTCTTCTATCTGGAGCATTACATCCTGGTGGAAGATCCATATAAATCTTTTATGTCAAGTCCATGCAAGAAGGCGTTTTTCACATCGAACTGTTGTAAGGGCCAATTAAGATTTGCAGCCAAGGACAACAAAACACGAACTGTGTTGATCTTGGCTACTCGAGGTAGGCACTTAAAACCGAAAACCGCAACCGAAACACGAACCAAATCAAACCGCACCGAACGGTTTGGTTTTACGGTTTCAAAAGGGTTTCGGTTTGAAACCGAACCGAATAGGGGAAAAATGATTTGGTTTCGGTTTCGACCCTCCAAAACCGCATACCTTTATTAAGTGTTAAATTTTAATTGGTTATTTTCATTAAGTTGAATTATTTTGTTGTGGTATGAATTCTGTTGTCATCAACTAGGTAATGTGAATTTGTGATGGTATCAGACCCTAAACTTACGCCAATCATGAATTTGTGATGCAGCGAGGCAAGGAAGTCATTAAACAGATCGCATGTTGTGCAAGTCCTTGACAATCTCATCTACAATTACAGTCTGACTTTCTGTGGGAAGGCTTCGGCTCTTCCTGAATTTGAATCGATTGGGGGTTGTTAAAAATATAAAATAGAAGTCAAAGGCAGTGCTCTTCAAACTATGCTTGTATTTTGGATTTGTGAACATGAATTTATTAACTTGGTTGTGTAACAACCCACATCACCCAGGGGAGTAGATCATGTAAGCCTTATATATGTATATTTTCATCTCTACCTAGCACGAGGCATTTTAGGAGCTCACTGGCTTTGGATTCCATCGGAACTTCGAAGTTAAGCAAGCTCGCGCGAAAGCATTCCCAAGATGGGTGACCCACTAGGAAATTCTCGTGTGAGTTGCCAGAAACAAAACCGTGAGGGCGAAGTCGGGGCCCAAAGCGGACAATATTGTGCTACGGTGGAGTTGAGCCCAGGATGTGGTGGGGCCCCGAGTCGGGATGTGACAATTTGGTATCAGAGTCAATCCTTGGCCAGAAGTGTGCCGACGATGACGTCGGGCACCTAAAGGGGGTGGATTGTAACATCCCACATGCCCAAGGGAGTGGATCATATAAATGTCACATCCCTGCCCAGGGTCCACCACATCCGAGGCCCGCTCCACCACCATAACACGATATTGTCCGTTTTGGGCCCCAACCACGCCCTCACAGTTTTGTTTCTGGAAACTCACATAAGAACTTCCTAGTGGGTCACCCATCATGGGATTGCTCTTGCACGTTACTCATTTTACTTCGGAGTTCTGATGAAACCCGAAGCTAGTGAGCTCCCAAAAAACCTCGTGCTAGGTAGGGATAGGAATATACATAAGGATCACTCCCCTGGGCGATGTGGGATCTTACAATCCACCCCTTTAGGGGCCCGACGTCCTCGTCGGCACACACGCGGTCAAGGTTAGGCTCTGATACCAAATTGTCACATCCCGGCCCAAGGTCCACCACATCCCGGGCCCGCTCCACCACCGTAGCACGATATTGTCCGCTTTGGGCCCCGACCACTCCCTCACGGTTTTGTTTCTGGAAACTCACACGAGAACTTCCTAGTAGGTCACCCATCATGGGATTGCTCTCACGCGCTACTCGCTTAACTTCGAAGTTCTGATGGAACCCGAAGCCAGTGAGCTCCGAAAAGGCCTCGTGCTAGGTAGGGATGGGAATATACATATAAGGATCACTCCCCAGGGCGATGTGGGATCTTACAGTAAACCTTATATGTATATTCTCATCTCTACCTAACACAAGGCCTTTTAGGAGCTCACTGGCTTCGGATTCCATTAGAACTCTAAAGTTAAGTGAGCTCGTGCGAGAGCATTCCTAGGATGGGTAACCCATTGGGAAATTCTCGTGTGAGTTCCCAGAAACAAAACCGTGAGGGTGTGGTCGAGGCCCAAAGCGGACAATATCGTGCTACGGTGGAGTTAAGCCCGGGATGTGACAGATTGCCTCAAGTTGAATTATTTTGTTATGGTGGATGTGAATTTTGTTGTCATCAACTAGGTAACCATAATAGTTTTTTCAAACAATGAAACCAAACCAAAATCGTTTGAAACCCAACTGAACCGAACCAAATGATTTGGTTTCATTTCGACTTTAGCCTCAAAACCGCACTGAACCAAACCGCAAAAATTTATGGTTTTGGGTTTTGGTTTCACTCAAAACCGCATCAAACCGAACCGCGCCCACTGCTATTGGCTACAGGTGCAAATGTATCTGTGTAATCGATTCCATATTTTTGAGTGTATCCTTTTGCTACCAGTCTTGCCTTGAAATAATCCACAGTCTCATCTGTTTTTGTATTTCACAGTATAGACCCATTTGCATCCCACAGCTTTTTTCCAGCTGGTAAATCTGTGATCTCCCAGGTAGCATTCTTCTTCAAAGACTTCAACTCTTCATTCATTGCTGCCAACATGGATCAGTTAAAGCATCTGTTAGGAATGGATACAGTAGATAATTGATGCACAAACGACTTATTTGATTCTGATAGGTGACTAGTAGACACATAATTACTTAATGGGTATAACACATTAGACTCAAGGTTGGGCTTACTCACCGGATACCTAGTTTTGCATTTAGGGTCGGCTTCATAAGTAAGTTTAGGAATACCTCGGTTGATGCGATCAAGGAGATGATGTGGTGGTGGTGCATCCAGGATTGAAGACGATTGATTATGGTTATTAGGACTCGAGATCGACTGTGAGGTAGCTGGCCACACAGGGTTGTCTTGTGGTGAGGAAACTGGCAGTGAGCTATCAGGCAGTGAGTTATATGGCGATGTCGACTCGTCCATTTCAAGGTTTTCAATATTGTCTCCATGTGAATGATCACCACTTGTTTCCAAGACATTACCACTTAATTCCAATTCATTCACATCATTGTTTTCGTGTGAATGATCACCATTTATTTCCAAGACATCACCACTTAAATCCAAATCATTTTCTATCTGTATCTGGAATAGTATAATCAAGAGTTTGAACTTCTTTCTGATTCTCCCCCTAAAGTGAAGACTTGGGATTGGAAAAGTACATACCATGCTCATGAAATGCAACATCCATAGTGACAAACTACTTGTTCGTCAGAGGGTGATAACAATGGTATCCTTTCTGCCTTGATGCATACCCCACAAACACACATTGTAAGGCCCGAGGTTCAAGCTTACTTCGCTGTTGTTTATGAAGATGAATGAAGGCCACACAACCAAACACATGAAGTGGAAAATTAGGGACTGCAGGAGCATCAACATGTGAAAAAGTGCCTGAAGGGGTGTCTGAAAAGCAACCAATCAGGATGGAACACAATTAATGAAATACGCAGCTGAGGTGAGAGCTTCTTCCCAAAAGGATAACGGGAGACGTGCCTTGAGTAAAGAAGCATGAACAACCTCTAGAAGCTGACAGTTCTTGCATTCAGCAACCCCATTTTGTTGTGGAGTATATGGACATGTAGTTTGATGAACAATCCCATGATGATCAAGAAAGGCACGAAGTTCAGAGTTAACATATTTGCCACCATTATCACTCCTGAGAACCTGTATTTGTGACTTATATTGTACTTGTACCATTTTGTAAAACTTCTGAAACAAAGAAGTAACTTCACTTTTGGACTTCATCAAACAAACCCAAGTCATATGTGTGCAATCATCAATAAAAGTAACAAACCAATGAGCACAACCAAGTGCAATAGTTTTAGATGGTCTCCAAACATCAGAATGAATTATCATAAATGGGTTTGAACTTTTATTCAACCTAGGAGGAAATGAAGTACGATGACTTTTAGCCATTTCACAAACACCACAATTAAAGTTAGAAATATCATGCTTAACAAATAGGCTAGGAAACAACCTCCACAAATAGCCGAACAAAGCATGTCCAAGTTGACAATGCCACAACCAAATCTCCGAAGCTTTATTCCTATCCCCCTGATTTCCTTCCACTGCAAGAGCTTGAGTCAACATTTGAGAACTGTTCGATGTCAGCTCCAAGTAGTAGAGCTTATCCTTCCTAATACCATAACCAATCATCTTGCGAGTTCGAATGTCTTTAAAAAACAAAAAAGAAGGCCAAAAAATCACAAGACAATGCAGGGCGACAGTTATTTGAGCAACAAATAATAAATTATAGTCAAGAGAAGGAACAACAAGCACGTTATCAAAACTAAGGGTATCTAAAAGGGAGACAGTTCATTCCCCAATAATAGGGGCAAGATTACCGTTGGCAACACTCACGACGGTTTTGGTGGATGGTTTTAGGGTTTGTACCTGTCTAGAATCACAAGTCATATGTCCAGTAGCACTAGAATCAATTATCCATGTATTGTTCATAACAAATGCAAAAACCTTTAAAGCCTTTCCATTTCAGGCAGAAGTTGTGGTTATCAACCGGGATTTACAGCGGCAAGATTTCTGGATTTGGATCGCGGTTCGTGGGCATGTGATGTAGCAACAGATAGTGGTGGGTGACTGCAGGGATCAGCTTGGTGAACTCGGGTCAGCAACGACGGCGTTGCTCGCTGGTGTGACGGTGCGCTGTACAACTAGCTGCGCGGCCGATGGTTCTCGGTTCTGCGCACAACATGACTTTTTTTTCTTTTTTTTTTCTAACCTAAGCTCTAGTGCCAAGAAGAGAATGCTTTGAATGATGATTTTATTCTTCTCAAGGAGAGGTATTTATATAAGGTGTACAACTCTAATGTAATAGGAAGAAAACTAATTACAGGAGATTACAGGAGATTACACGGAATTGATATCAATTAGGAATCCTACCTAAAATACAAAGTCAACAGATTTGCCCTCAACTCACTTGACTGGAACAATACTTTCCACATAAATTAGAGCTTTAAAAGCTCTAACTTGATTGAGAATAGGAGGAATATGAAGATAGTTGAGATTTCTGGTATTGGAATTATAAGAGCTGGCTGTTCCACCAGAGGTTTCCATAAGAAGCTCATCTGTTTTCCAAAATGTAAATAGATTTTCAATGCCTTTTAAGGGTCCGAAGGTTAGGAGTTTTGTCCATGAACTTTTAACTCCGTCATAATCATCCATTACCCATATTTCATATAATGTAGAATCCTCATCACTTGGATTGCAACAATAACCAAAAGAAGCAATCGATTTATTACACAGAAAGAGATTAGAAAACTTAAAATCAGAGTCTCTCCTAGAAGGCAATTGTATTCTATGAAATATCTCATCACCTAAATCAAATGAAAGTATGAAATCTTCTTCATCGGTTGCAATCCAATAACAAAATCCATTCAAGTACACTGAACAAGTATAACAATAGGTTTCACTTGATATATCAATCTTGATCTCTCTCCAAGAGTTAGCAGTCGTGGTATATACCTCAGCCGTGTGAGGAAGAGCAATACGATGATAATCATATTGCTCAGCA